CCCTGTTATTGAAGTCACATTATATTAATCTTGGTTAGATAATAGAGGTCCACGTCAGCCCAAATTAAGGTATAAAACTCAAGTTATTAATCCCTTAATCAAAAAGGTCCATCAAGCCCAAATAAGTCACTATAAATACAATATTGATGGGACAGAAAGGTAGGTATGATTATTTAATACTATAACATTTTTTGCTCTGGACCGAATACTGACTTGAGTGTCGGAGTGCCTTTGCAGGTACCCTTCCCCACCACTCGGAGATAGGATTCGCCCAATACGCGAGACTTAAAAGATTAGCCAGCAGGAACCTCAAGAGTGTTTCTGACAGGACCTTTATTATCTAACCAATATTAATATAATGTGGCTTCAATAATAGAGGATATTCGGCCTGTCTTATGACCGAATACCCTTTCGAGTTATGCATTAGCCGAACTGGTACTCGACTTTCAGCCTTCGTGACTTATGGGCGGCTGCTAGGCTTAGGGTGACGTGGCTTCGGTGGTGATAAGTATCTGGCTTTCCTTGTAGTCGAATACCCTTTCGGGTTGTGCACTGGCCGGAGGGGTATTCGATTTCCACGGTACATAACTTAAAATATTAAGAAATTAACTATTAAGTGTACCAATATTTTGTATCTGTGTATTGATTTTTTTTTTATTGATAAAATATTATTGTGCATAATATGCGCTAATGCTAATCCTAATTGTAATTGTCTTCTTTATATATCTGAGTTACCAATTTTTAGATTTTATTGTATTGTCTACTTTAATTTTTTTTATCCTTATTTTTATTCTTTTTATGAAAGTTTTTTTTTTAACCATAAAAAGTGGAATTGTGAGATTGGGCCTGAAGAAAGTATTTTGGTCCAGAATAAAGATCTATTGCATGGGGATGGAAGCATTGCGGTGTTTGACTTAGTCCTCCTAGAACTATAGTTGAGAAGGGTTTAACATAGTTTCAATTCGATTTAAACTTTTGATAGTCACTTATTTTAATTTAAATTAAGTTAAAATCTGAAAACATATAGAATAGAATGGAGTTAATCTAATTTGCTGATATATTATATAATTTTTAATATTATATATAAATTTTGGAAATAAACAAGCATGAAACAAAAACTCAGATATTTTGCGGTGTATATTTCAAAACAAATATAGCCAATATATTATAATATTATATTGTATTACGCAAAAATATTTTACTTAAGAACTCGTTATTTATACATAATTGATAAAAAGAGGGTATACATATATAAATTTAAAGTAAGAAAAGAAGTGTGAGTTAAAATAACTTGAAATATAATATAAATTAATCTTTATATTTAGAGGTGTTAAAGTGAGTCACGTGAGTTGACTTACTCCAGATTGGTACTTTAAACCGGTCAATCTAACTTGACTCACTTTCTAGGACTCACTTTCTAGTGAGTCAGAAAAATTTCAATCTACCAATTTTTTTAAAACTAAAAAATATATAAAAAAAATTAATTGCATATTTCTATTTTTAATAAATAAAATAAAAAATTATAATATTTTATACCCGAAAATCAAGTCCATCATTGATTCAAATCTAAATATATATAAAAAAATATTAATCAAAATTTCAAATAAAAATTACATAAAAATTAAATATATTTTTTAAAAAAATTTAATAATGGACTAAACAAATTATCCTAACTCATTTAAACTCAAACTCGTCTGACTCACGACTTAAGTGAGCCAAGTTAAAATTTAATCAAAATTAATATAATTTTTTTTCTTATCCCAGCCTATTTTAGATCATGGTGAGTCAAGTTGACCCATCAATGTTAACTCATTTTGACACTTCTAATCATATTCACATTAAATTTACATTATAAAATAGAATTGTCATGACCTTAGTTTGGAAACCCACCCCCCAAAAACAAGTTTGATTCCCCCAAAGAACGATATTCATTAAATTAATAAATCTTATTGTAAATATATAATTAAATAAGTCTAAATTTTGAAAAACTAAATATTAGACTCTAAACCAAATTAAAACAACTCAAAATATAATTTGTAAGGGTAAAAAACTTAATTAAATGTTCATCGAATAAGTATTTACCATTGCAAGTTATTTCTATAATCAAAGAGAAATAAAGCGGTTAATCTATTTTCATATAAGTCACAAGTTATTTTCATAATAAGTTTATAACATGCCGAGTTTATAACTAGGGAAAAAGTGTGACATCATTTTTTTTACTTGAGTGATTAAAGGATATGTATAAAAGTCCAATCCAAATCCAAAATAAAAACTAAAGGAGGCCAGGGTGTTCTTTGTCATATATTTTTTTTTTTTCATAAAAGTAACTTATAGTACGTATATGATAATAAAAAGTTGGTTAAAAACCTCTTTTGGTCCCTTATAATATTTTTTTGTTTCAATTTAATCTCACTTTAATTTTAGGTCTCAATTTGGTCTCTAATAATTTAAATCATTGAAATTTGGGACTTCCGTCTAAATAATTTAAACGGAGTTAACTAGTGGCCAGGTGGATGCCAGGTGGATGCCACGTAGGTGGATCAAAAAATACTTGAATATACCTGAAACCAGAACGGTCCGTTCTGGTTACACTATTGGTGTGTAAATTTTGTACCTGGAACGAGCCGTTCCAGATGCAAAATTAACACACCAACAGTTTAACCAGAACGAGCCGTTCTGGTTTCAGAATGGGCCGTTTTGATTCCAGAATTTCGTGCACAAAAAAATCAAAGAACAAAACATTTCAAACACTAGATTTGGTAATATTGTTAATGGTGATTGATAATTTCAATTGCTAAACATTTGGATTATACAGTGTATTATTAAGGACGATGCAGTGTATCACTAAGACAATGGTAACAAGTTTTATTTCATTGTTAGTCAAATTGGAGTGAACCACTAACTACCAAATTGACACTATACAGTCAAGTATGAAACAAAACGGTGTTTCCCCTTGAAGTCATTGACGATGTACCCCAACAATAACAACCTGTTCTTGAGGAGGTACAACCTGAATTTTTGTGGTTTAGGGTTTCCCTTAAGCGTTACCCAAATGATTTCCTTTCTCAATAATTTATTTGAACTTTTTTAGTATATGTTATGTTCTGAATTTTTGTTTTCAGTTTCTAAACCATATTTCTGTCTTTGAATTTATGATATATTATGAATTTTTATTTTTGATTTTTGAATCACATTGCGAAATTTTAGTCAAGATTTTGAACTGAATAAGTTCAAATCAAAGAAGGATTTTGGAAGGTCTTATCTTATTTGATTCTTTTTTTTTAGTTTTATTCATAAATGAATATTAATTTATTATATTTTTATTAATATAAATATAATAAAAAAAATACAATAAAAAGCATGAAGTTGGCGCTCTGGAACGGGCTGTTCTGAATTCAAAACGGTCCGTTCTAACAGTAGAACGGCCCGTTCTAACAGTAGAACGGCCCGTTCTAGTTTTAGAACGACCCGTTTTGCTGCACTAATATTGTGTTAAATTTGCATTTGGAACGGCCCATTCCAGTTGTAAAATTAACATATAACATGTGCATGCAGAATGGGTCGTTCTGGTTTCAGGTATATTCATGACATTTGACATCTACTTATACATCTACGTGACATCCACCTGACATCGAAGTCAGCAGTGTGGAAGAAAATATGCACAAAGTTTTGATGTTGCCAAAGCATTAAAGAAAATAAAGGTCAAGTTAAAGCAAACTGATCAAGAAGCAAGATCTCAAGTAATAACTAGATAAGTCTTGACTGCTTAGCTTAGTATACTTTTAGAATTTGCAAATTTGACTTGGCCATTAAAATAAGAATTTCAAGAAAACCTAAACTTAATACTTTTGAATATAAGAATAAGTTGTTTGAAAAGAAAGCAAAAAGAGTATTCAAAAGATTAAATAAAAATATTTTTAACTGAAAAATAGAAGCTCTTTATATCTTAGATTTTCATAAGCCAAAACAAGTGACATGTTTCTGGTAATCGATTACCACTTGCTGTAATCGATTACCAGAGAAAGAAAACCTTTCAAAATGTTAAAATGCTCTCTGGTAATCGATTACCACTGACTGTAATCGATTACCAGAAGAGAAATTTCAAAATTCGAATTTGAACTATACAACGTTTCAAACATTTTGAACTTAAACCGTTGTAATCGATTACCAAGTCTTGTAATCGATTACCAGAGCCTATTTTCTGAAAAATTATAGAGAGTTACAACTCTTCATGAAAAGACATAACTCAAGATACAATTGTCTATAAATACCTATAATTTTTCAGAGAAAGGTGACGAACTCTATTGTGAAAAATTATCTTTACAAATCACTTGGCCAAAATCATTTGCAAAATCTCTAAAGAGTTCATCAAAGATCATGAAAGTGTAATATCCACTCTTCAAGAGAGTCATTCTGTATTACTTAATAGATCATTGGATCTGTAAAGGAGAAAGGGTTTTTCTCCTTGTTGGTGTTTGAATCTCAACACAAGGAAAGGGAGTTCCGAGGTGTTGGAGGATTCATTTTCTTGTAAGGTTTACAAGAGTAGTGGAATTCTCAAGTGGGAGACTTGAGGACTGGATGTAGGCAGGATTGGCCGAACCAGTATAAAATCAAGTTTGCAACTCTTCTCCCTACACTTTTATTTATTTGTTATTTAATTGTGTTTGAGTTGTTCTTCATCATCATTCTTTACATGCAAATTTGTCTAAAGAAATAAAGTGATAAGAAAGTAATTGAAAAAGTTTTTATAAGAGGAAAATTTAGCAAACTTAATTCACCCTCCCTCCCTCTTAAGTTATACGAGGCTAAGGGACTAATAAGCAGGAATTAACCCCATTTAAATCATTTGGACAAAAGTCTCAAATTGCAATGATTTAAATTATTAGGGACTAAATTGAGACCTAAAATTAAAATGAGACTAAATTAAAATAAAAAATATTATCTAGGACCAAAAGAGATTTTTAACCTAAAAAATTTGGTTTGCTGAAAAAGGGAACTAAAGCAACGATCCACCAAAGCACGTTTAATTTAAAAGTAATTCTGCATGTACGAAAATAAAGACGAAAGGGGGAATTGATAAGCATATCCTCTAGATATGGAGTAGCGAGACAGGTAGCATACAGTTAAAGATAAAGCTAGTAGAGAAGGGTGCATGCATGATGCAACGCAAGAGAAAAGCAGCAACTTAATTCTTGTTGTGAAGTCGAGTGAGTGCCTTTTCCAGCTGGCTCCACTTCTGCTCCAACGTCCCAATGTACCCTACAGACATTCTCACCAGGCCCGGTGAGATTCCCGCTAGGGCTTTTTCCTCAGAGCTCAACTCACTGCTGGTGCTGCTGCCAGAGCACGACATCAGGGTCTCATAATAGCCCAGGCTCACAGCCATGAACCCAAACTGGGCGTAGTTCTGCAACTGGTTCATTAACCGATTGGCCCTCTCCTCTGTCTCCATGTCGATGCACAAAAGCCCACCGTACCCGTACTCCCTGTTGTGCATCGACTTTAGCAGCTCGTGATGCGGGTGCTCCTCCAGGCCCGGGTAGATTACCTTCAGGCCCAGGCTTTTGAGCCTCCTTGCGAAGACCAGCGCGCGCTGACTGTGCTCCTTCATTCTTAGCCCCAAATGCGGGATTCTCTCCGATAGTTCGAATGCCACCTTCGCGTTCATTGTTGGGCCCAGCAGCATTATCGCTCCCTGTTGCAGGTCCATCATTGAATTCACCAGACTCGCGGGCCCGCACACAGCACCTGACATTTTCCAAAAAAACACATTTCGTACTTAATAAAGAGACTGAAACTAAAGTAACACGTGGAGGAGGATAAGAGAAGACACAACACCGATTGTTCACGTGTAACACTGCTCACTATTAGTCACCAAGCAAATTTCTTAAATACATTTGATTCCAAAGTCACTCCTACTTCTCATCACTATATACATCTATCTACCCCCAAAAAAGATTCTCAATTTCAAACTTTAACTTTGCCTTATTAAAATTTAAGATAAATCCTAAAGAAAGATGTTAAGGAAGTTCAATTTCGAATTATGATTTTTTGAAATTTTTCAAATAACCGTAAATGTCTAAATTAATGATATCCCATTTATTTTGTGTACAGTTGCCTAATTATCATAACTAAAAATTTATAAACTATAAACAGATAAAAAAAAGTTGCAATTTGAATAAAATGTTATGATGCTTTAATTCTAGAAAAATATCGAAGCAGACAACATAGTTTTGGGGTCTAATTTGTTTTCTATGTAGAAATAATTTCGTGAATTGGAAAAGTTAGCCAACCGCAATTTGTTGTCCACTAAATTAAGTTGGAAAATTCTTCATCCCCCAACGCAACCTCCGAAATATATTCCGAATGTATAAAAAAATAATTTAAATTATAAAATATTAAATTAAATAATTATTTTATAATAAATTTATTAAAAAATATAATTTTTTTAAAATTTCAGACGATGATTCGTTTCATTTTTCGGAACGTCTAGCAATCTTCAATTAAGTTTAAACTTTATTTACAATCTTTATTTTTGCAAGGTCGACGTCGTGTTATACTGTCATTGTTGGACGAAGGGTCAAGGATCCTTCAAAATCTTCTTTTCACCCTAATTTTAATATTTATTCACAATATCATTTTATTACGAAAAAGACAATGGTCCTACAGATCCATTAATTCTCACTAGCTTGTCCGGAGTTGAAAATTGTAGCTTTTCTAATTATATATTTATAATAAAATTTCTTCCTGGATAAGTGTCAGAAAGAAGAAAGGACAGAAAAATGGACCGAAATAATAGGCAATATGATAAAATAAAATAAAATAGTATTTTTTTAATTTATATTAGTATTATTTATCATAAAATATATTTCATAAAATAAATCTGTATTTTAATTATATATATTTTTCTTATTGTTGTTTAATTATACATGCTATTAAATATATTACAGAGACAAACAAGAACAACTCAATCTTAACGTGGATCAAGTCTGTCCTACTCCTATGTGATATCATAAACATCCATGATAAGACGTTCATTTTTATTTTTTTTCTCTCACAAAGTGTACAAACTACTTCTTACTGTAAAAAATATCTTTTGCTAGTAATTATCAATGCACTATTACCGGTACAACACGTGAGATGGATAGATATGAGGATAAACTTGAGGAGTTGTCATTAAATGATTCGAGATCCTCTAAAGTAAGCGCTTTATAATTGAACAATGAAATTAACATGGGTATCTTATTATAAACACTTATTTAACATCTTTAATTCTTCTCTAACTCTCTTTTCCTCTATCTTTGTCGATTAGGATAAAAGAATATACCATCCGATCGACTCAAATAAAAACCACACACACTTCATTATTTAATTGAGATAATTACCTATATATAATTAATTTTTTATATTAATAATCAATTATATTATATTTTTTAATAATATTATGTTATTTTTATTAGTAATATAATATTATTAAAATATATAATTAATTATTAGTATACAAAAATTATACATTAATTAATTTTATTTTATTTAGAGTTAATTACTTGTATATTATTAGTATAAAATTTTTCATACTAATAACTAATTAAAATTTTTAATTGTGTTATATCATTGACATGGTACAAATATAATTAAAAAATAATAACATGATATAATTAAAAGATCTAATTAATTATTAATGTAAACACTAATAATGTACAAGTAATTAATTCTATTTTATTTATGTGTTTATAATTTTAAGGAAATTTAATATAGTTATTTATTAGCTAGTTAATGAAGAGAGAAGAATCCGAAAAGAGAAGTGAAAGAAGACAAAGATACCTGCGATGATATCGGCCCCACCGCTGATGAACTTGGAGATACTGTGAACAACCACGTCAGCACCGAGACGCGCCGGCGAGAGGACCATGGGCGCAAAGGTGTTGTCGACGACCACCGTGACGCCCTTGCGGTGGGCGACGCGGCAGAGCTCGGGTATGTTGGCGACGGAGAGAGTGGGGTTGGAAACGGACTCGAAGTAGAGGACCTTGGTCTTGCCCTCGACGATCGCCGCCTCCACCATGTCCAGATCGGAGACCTCGACGAAGGTGGTGCTCATGCCGCACGTGCGGGGGAGGAAGTGCGCGAGGAGCGCGTGGGTCCCGCCGTACAGCGCCCTGGAGGCCACCACGTGTCCCCCGTGGCTGCAAAGCTGGAGGAGCACGGCGGCGATCGCGGACATCCCGCTGGCGGTGCAGTACGCCGCCTCGGTGCCCTCCAGCGCCGCCATGAGGCGGCTGAGGTTCAGCACCGTCGGGTTGAAGTGGCGGCTGTAGATGAAGAAGTCGCGGTCCGGGCCCAGCTCGCCGGCGAACATGCGCCGCATCGTCTCCGGCTCCATCACCGTGAACGTCGCCGAGGCCTCGATCGACATGTTCACGCCGCCGTGCTCCCCGAACTCGTGGCGCGCGCTGGCCAGAGCCGCCGCCG